GGCACCGTAATTGGTTAACTACTGGAACATAAAAAAATTTAATTCGTGTTCTGAATGAACACTAATAAATTTTTTTGTGTAATCGAGAATCCTCAAAGGGGATCGTCCGGGAGATGATGACACAAAATGATGTCCATTTGTTATCACTTGAAACGTAAATATGGCAGACCTCTCGCGGTTTTAAAATTGATGACGTGTGATTGAAGTTATAAAAAATTTTTTGCTTTTTTCCTAATATGTTACTTGCTAGCATTTATTTCTAGTAATAGTTTACATAAAAAAAATTGGAAGGTAGATGCCATACTGTTTCTATATAGGTCAAAGGGGCCGCCAAACTAAATTAAATTTCTTAGAGAAAAAAAAAGATTTGTTACCGATAAAAATGTAAACTAAAACATCATGATTTTACTTTATGGACTTCGTTTTTTGGTCGGTAACAAATCATGACATTTTAGTTCAAAATTCGATAGATTAGGAGCATAGCATCCTCTCAGACTCAAACGATATAATATGTATATTTTTGTATGTTTTGTGGAAAATAGGTAATACACAAAAAAAACACACAGCCGGTAACAAGTCATTTTTTTTCACTAAGAAATTTACCATTTTAGCTTAGTTATGGCTCTTGCCATATAGGACACGGCGAGCATTGCAGGAATCAGAAATGGGATGTATATCATCAGTCATGCAATTTCATTTTGTTTTGTGTAAAAATTAATTTAGGAATTCGATATTATTAAACGTTATATTTGCCCAAATATAAAAAATATAAAACGAAAAAAAGTTTTAGAGACGACGAAAAGATATCCAAAGAAGTTATCTTTTAGGTCATGGATAAGATTTATCATATGGACAAGACTTAAAGAATTAATTAATTTTAATTTATATAATTTAGTTACATTTTAGACTCTTAATTTTTTAATTTAATTTAGTTCATCATTTAGTTATCACTTTATTGATAACTAGTATTAACTTTCTATTTGACTTTTTTAACCCTCAATGCGAGGAGATAATGAGAGTATATAATTTAGTAATTTTATCCGCACAGAGCACAAAGTCGTCTAAAAGATGATTAAAAGATGACAATAAATTGTTATAAAATTAGTTTTTAATAAAAGAATATAGTCGACTAAAAAACGACGCATTGCTAGTCATCTTATAACCTTATTCATATGATAACTAAAGGATGACTTCTTTAGATAGTTTTAGTTGTGTTTACGATTTTTTTTAGTTTTTATTAAACGTTATATTTTGACACATATAACGTTTAATAACATCGAATTCCTAAATTAATTTTTACATAAAACGAAATGAAATTGTATGACAATATACATCCTATTTCTGGATCCTGCAATGTTTGCCATGTGTCTTTCATCATAATCTCCTCTGAGGACTCAATTACAAAAAATATTTTATTGGCGTTCATTAGAACATAAGTAAAATTTTTCATAATGCTGCACCTTTTATTCTATCTTGTATGATTTTTTTACACAAGAAAACTGAACTCGACCATGTCTGTCTGGTGGCGATCCCGTGTACTGCTCGCGAATGAATGATAAAAAGTACCAAAATAACAGAAAGACATCTTTTTCGTATTGTCTTTTCAGCAATATGAAAAGATATCTTTTTAGTCGACTTTGTAAAAATGACAGCTATAGAAAAATGACGAAAAAATGTCTTTTAAATTGTTTTTTTCGACAAAATTAAAAGATGTCTTATAGACATCTTATCGTCTTGCTGAAAAGACAATCTAAAAACGATGTCGTTTCGTCACTTTTTAGACATCTTTTCGTTTTGTCGAAAAAACAATTTACAAAAGATCTCTTTTCGTAATATTTTAATATTTCGTATACACATAATATCAGGATTGGTAGATAATGCGCGTTACTTGTAATGCCGTTAATTTTCTTATTGTTACTTTGTTATAATAACGATTTGGTAATGGTAAATTTTTATGACTGTAACATTAGGATTGTAAAATCACTCGCAGAGAATGGAAGTAACTCGTTACTTACTTGTAATGAATTATAAGTTACTTTTTTGTTAATTTTACTGGTAACTGCATTACTTTTTTTTGATAACTGTAACGAATTTTATAGTTATTTTTATCGTTACTTTGCACATAATATGGTCGATTGGACTCACTCATTTGAGACTAAAAAAGCCCCTAGACACCCGTCCGTTGTAATTGCTTGTCGATTTTAAAAAATATAATGAAAAGTTACTTTCTTAAATAACTATAAATCTGGATCTACAATAGATATTTTAAGCCGTAAGGAATTGACCAATTACAATCGAATACGAGGAAAATAAGTGATTCGTCCATTCCTTATGGCTTATGAGGCTTAAAATCTATTGTAGATCCGTGATAACTGTAACGAATTAGAAGATTTTAGAAATCGGTAACTATAGTAACGGTAATTTGTTACTTTTTCTACTCGGTAACGAGTAACTGTAACTTGTTATTTGTAAAAAGTAATTTCCATTACCTAGTCGATTGTTAGTTGTAATGTTGGAAGTCACTCGGTGTACAAATAACGATCGAATGACTTTCTAACTCTGGATATTACCTTTAAGATAAAAAGATTCGCCATTATCAAATCGTTATTATAACAAAGTAATAATGAGAAAAGGAACGGTATTACAAATAATGCGCTACTTACCATTTCTGCATAATATGTATATAATGTGTATGATTTATAAGCAACTGCACATATAGCTCATATACTGTTTCGCGATACTGTTTAAATTCGCATCTTTATTCGAATTTATTAAAAAACAAGCTCGTCTATAAATTGGAAAATGATAGTTAAATTTTTCTTCTAAAAAAGTTGACTTTCTCTTTTATTTTTCGTTTATTGCATTATTATTCAGCAATTTCATGCGCACAAAAAAGCTCGATGTATTCCTTACAGAAATTTAATGTATTAGAAATGATTTACTTTGAAGATTAAAAACACTGAACAAGTGCTCTTAATACTTAAAATAAATTATTATTATCTTCTAGTATTAAAGGAGAATGTTAAAAAGAGGCCAATTTTTATTCACAAAAGTGTAAAAGAAATAGTAAAAGAAATATTGTTTTTTTGTAGATTTTAATCTTCTGAATATGATAAAATTATTAAATTTGTTTGTTTTTTTTTAAATATATTATGTTCAATTTTCAAGATGTTTCCTATGACCCTCCATTCCGAATTTTTTATTATAACATTATTGTAGTTTCAGAAGGTTACAATCTATAAAAAACACTTTCCTTTTTACTTATACCTTTGTGGGCCTCTTTTAACATTCTCCTTTTTGCAAGAGATGTATGAGGATTGATGTCAAATAACATATTGTCAAATAATACGTAGCTACAAACTTCTTCATTTTTCTTATTGTTTTGATATTGTTTTTTAAAATGGCATTATAAAATTTATAAAAAGACAAGCCTTGTAAAAGAACTTAATGCGATAAAACAATAACATATATACTAGTGAACAATAATATATATGTCTTGCCTTATAACTACAAGCTCGACTTACAATTAGAATTATACCCAATATTTATATGAATGACTATGAATACAACTGCATTGACAATTCAAGAATTGATCGCAAATCAATGACTTACTATGTTTTCTCTATTAACAATCATATCCGTAATGCAAAGAGAACTGAATCAATTCTTATAACATTATAATCGACAAACGTCGATTCTTTTTCGACAATGCCCTACTTTATCGTTAATGGCGAATGTTGTTTTTGTAGATGTCTCGAACGACACTTAAGATGTTAAATTTTCAAACTTTGTTACTTTTTCAAAAGGTGAATTCAACAATAATTATCATTCCAAATAGAAAAACAGGTAGAATTTCTAAATTTTATAAGTAATTGTACGCTCCAGGGTGTATACAAGTATGTGCGTATCGCTCCGGTGTGTCTTCGCTGTGATTTTATTATTCGTTGAGTACACAGGTGCGGACCAGGGCGTCGCAGACAGAGTAGGGATCGCAATTGCTGCTAGGCCTCCTGTCTTCCAGGTAACCCTTCTTCTCCTCGGCAACACCACGGGGAATGCGGATGCTGACGTTTCGATTGGCTACCCCAGCACTGAAGTCATGAATATTACTGGTCTCGCATTTGCCAGTCAGCCTGCGCTCGTTGTCTTTCCCTCCGCGCGGATCATACGCCTGAATGTGCCTGAGATGTTGCTTGCTGAGCTTGTCGATCGCCTTTTCGATTTCAGCGATACCGTTATCACTGCGCATCGCCTTCGTCGAGAAGTTGGTATGAGCACCGGCGCCGTTCCACGAGCCATCCACTGGTTTCGGATCTAGGCTAACGATCACACCATATTCTTCGGCGATGCGCTGCAGAATGAATCGGGCGATCCACAGATCATCTCCGGCATTGATACCCGTGCACGGTCCCACCTGGATCCATAATAAAAGACACGATAATAACTCTTTGTAGAGAGATATTTTCTTTCCTCAGAGAACTTTATAAATTAAATTAAAGTCTCGAATTACCTAAAGTCTGTAAATGAAATTTCCGATAAATTACAATTATCAAATTAAATTTGCGATATGATCCCAATTGAATTTCTATTATTTTTAATTTTATTCATTGGATTTTAATATTCAAAATGAAAAAAAATCGTTTAATTGCATTAATTTTAAATAAAAATCATTAATTTAAAGTGCACTGGAACCTGCGAACATCAGTTAAAGAAATTTCGAAGCAAATACTGATTATAGTTAAAACTATCGATGTTATAATGTTATAATGTTATCGGATTAGACCGCATCTTAATATATAACAAAATCCCCTTCTTTCTTTATAATCTTTATAATCTTCTTTATAATTGTTTAAAGAAAATTTGTTTTCGAATGCTGGATGCGCGTATTCTCTTTTTTTATTACAACAATTCAATTATTCACCTGGAACTCCCATTGCGAAGGCATCACCTCGGCGTTAGTTCCCGCGAGCTTCACACCAGCATAGAGGCAGGCCCTGTAATGGGCCTCGACGATTTCGCGACCGATCACTTTATCGGCGCCGACGCCGCAGTAATAAGGACCCTGTGGGCCTGGAAAGCCGTTCTTAGGCCAGCCAAGTGGCCTACCATCGAAGTCTAAGAGAGTATACTCTTGCTCGATACCGAACCAGGGCTCTTGATCCTTAATAGACTCCATCGCTTGGTTTGCGCGATACCGCTTGTTTGATTTCGTTGGTGTTTTGTCGCTATAGTAGGTATCACATAGCACGAGCTTATTATTACCGCGACGGAAGGGATCGTTATAAATCGCTACCGGGTAGAGGAATATATCACTGTTGGCACCGTCGGCCTGGTATGTCGAGCTGCCATCGTAAGTCCACGTAGGTAGGTCTGAAAAAGATAATTGTGTTTGATATTTCATGTAGAAATAGCAATGAATTATTAAGCAGATTACTGGAATTTCTTTCTTAGTAAAATTGCAATTCGAGTTTCTTCGATTACTATTTTCCGCAATCAATTTAATGATAAATAAATTATTAATCATTCTTAATTTTTAAAGAAAATATTATGTAGTACCTTTTCAATTTCTGATAATAAATATATCGATCATTAGCTAACTTTTAATCCTGAAAAATAAATCCTCAGATTAAACTTTAAAATGTAGAAATGTTTAAAATGTTTAATGTAATTTCTGATAAAATATTAAAATTGATTTTTTTTCTGAAATGTGATGATTAATTAAGAAACGGGATTTTTTCATCTATTCATATTTATTGATTTAATCAATTTTAATGGCTTTCAATTTTTCATCAAATTTTTATTCATCCCACCCACTTTTATCAATCCCATACAATTCTCCATGAAAGGAACGTCTTTGGACGTTCTTAGGATATCTTTTTTTTAGGAGAACTGTGTTGTGTGGGCGGTTACATCCTGGTATATTAATATCTTAATTTATTGTTGCAAGACAATCAAAGGCAGTTAATTATGCGGACGAGTTATTTTTAATAAATAAATTTTTTCAGGGAGACATGTATCCATAATAGATTTTTTCCTTTCGAGGAGAAACATTTCTTTAATAAAATATCCTTTCCTTTTAGGAGAAGACATTAATTTTAAAACAAATTTTAAAATTGAAAGTCTATGAGTCAAAGCTGGTTATTAATCGCCATTAATTAAAAATTCTTTTTATTTAACAATTATTTAATAATTCTAGTTAAGATACAATCCAAATAAACGTTTCGACTAATCATTAAGGGGATCCTAAAGCGAATCTCGAACTTCGATGAAGTCACCAGAGGTTGCACCGCGCGCCGCGTATACTATCACATCAATATCTCAGTATGCAACCTATGATACACGCAGTCACACATTCGTATCAATTTTCGTATAACAAATTTGTCACAATAAAGCGTCTAAATCTAATTCTAAGAACTCGACGTTGTTTGTTCGTGTAAACTACGTGTCTGGGAATCATACATACAAGTTGCAAAGCTTTCATATCAAACACATGTTGTCATGACTTGGCAGCTGAGATGTCATATTACATTAAGAAATAGTAAAAAATATATCAATTTTTAAATTTTTAATCGTTCTCCACTTCCCAGACATATTAATGCGTACACTTTAATCCTGAAAAAGGATTTTTGAATCGGTGATAATTAGTAAAACAGGAGGCTTTAGAATCTCCTTAAGTCATCTTCAATGTTAATATAAATAAAATAAAACTTACAATTGTAAAACTTACAATTATAAAGAAAACAATCTTTTTATAATACGTTTAAAATTAACTTTATTGGTCAATTTTAAAAATTAGTAGGAATAATACCTCATTTCTCTCTCTTCAAATATTCTATAGCTTTTATTAAAGAATTCGTTAAAATTGTAAATATCAATTAACAACAGAATGTTATTGACCATCACTGGATACATGTTTTAACATTATCATATTTTGTGACTTCTCCGGTGAGTTTTATTTTGATTGATATTTGCATAAATTAGTTTGGATTGTTCTCAATTTTCTCATATTATTCACAGATTTATTGAAATTTTAACATTCAGTCGATCAGCTGAGTGGGAACAATTTCTGTCTGTCAACGTACAATTTATCGGAGATAACTTAACTTATCGTTAACTTAACTTATCTTTACTTGATGTCGTTGTGTCGCTCGTCTACTGCGGATTGCGACTACTGTTATAGTAAATCTGAAGATGGCTCGATCAAGAAGCCGAACATGTAATTATTATTTATTTCAAGAAAAAACATTTCTGATTTAGTTCACACTCTGTTAATGAATGGCTATCCTCTCGAATTCATTTTTTCAACAATAAAAAATAGAATTAAAACTTTAGAAAATAGAACTAATTTAGATAAAAATCGTGAGTGTAATAATAATAAAAACGATTCTAATTCCAATTTAAAGAAAAAGTTTTTTATAATATATAAATAAATTATCCATATTTAAATAAAATATCAGAAAAATTTAGAAAATTATCACATAGTCAGGGCTTTAATATTGCTTACAAACCTATAAACAAATTGAATAGATTTATTAAAACTGGAAAAGATCGTTTGTGTAAAGAGGACCATAGTGGAGTGGTTTATAAGATAAATTGTCTAGATTGTGATTCTTCTTATGTTGGCCAAACAAAAAGGAAATTAAAAACTCGAATTAAAGAACATGAGGTTGACATAAGAAGATCCACCTCTGAGATGTCAGTGGATTGAATGAGATGCACGAATTAGATTGGGATAATATTAGAATTTTAAATACGGAACAATCATTATTTAAAAGAAGAATTTCTGAAATGATATACAAATAAGTAGTATTAATAAGCAAAGTGACACGGAAAGTTTGCCTGATGTTTATCTGCCTTTTCTAAAGAAAGATCTCTCTCACACTTAATAAATAATTCTAGAACAATCTAAATCTTTGACATATATATAAATAGCGGTAACACATACGATATAACGAATAATAATACACAATGTCACGAAAAATTTCCATCTGCGTGAAGGAAATGCTTAAGATTCATCATTTTATCTGTAAAATAGGTAATGATTCAATCCTCATAAAATTGACTAGAAGTTATTAATGATAGTTTTAATTTTTAAATTAGAATTTGGAAATTCTTGTTCTACATAACTTGCAATATGATAATTGGCGCTGTAACATTGTTCTATGATGCACCTTAAACAAGATGAAAGAACACGTTTATACATACTTATATTATACGACGGTTGAATTCAATGTCAGATATATGTATTAGGTGTTGGAATTAATTCGTAGCGTTTTTTAATGAAAGAATGTTATTTATTTCACATGAGCATTAAAAAATACATTAATGAAAGTACTTCCCATCACTTGTAAAACGCTACGAATTAATTCCAACACCTAATAAATTCTGTGTTTTACTAATATTTTTAATTTTACTGAAGATTGTGGCCAGATTGTGGCCGAAACGTCTAAAGATTTTGTATTAATGTAATGAATAATTAAATTTCACAAACAACATCCACTGCTGTGGTTTCATTTTTTTATATGCATGTAATTATTGTTTGCTTAAATCATCGAGATATTTTATTGCTCTGAGATATTTTATATATTATACATCGAGATTTTTAGAGGAATGATATCGAGAATATTATTATAGTTATATGTTTTTATTCAAGTTTTATTGATTTTTGACTCTTATATGCCCTTTACTTAGATTTATTTCAATTAATAATAAAAATGTTGATGTAATAAATAAGGAAATGCCAATGTAAACCGATACCAGTTCTTTGTATGTTATCCAATGTATATATTAAAAATGAGATACAGATGTTTCAACCTTAGTATTGGTTCTCTTCAGTTTAAAAATATATGTTTGGTATAAATTCATGATATTAATATAAAAATATATGTATAATTGCTCGATCGTCAAATCAATCATTAAAACTATTGTCACTATTGAAATCTTCAAATGTCGTCTGTTATATTTTATTGAATATACAAACAGTACATGTTCAAAAAATTCCATTAAAATAAATGATTCACATAAAAATTAATAAGTCAAAATAAAATTATGTTAGTCAATTGTACTAAAAACTTTGTTGCAATAAGCTTAACGATTGTCTGTTACGTTAAGATGTGAATACAAAGAGAGATATCATTGTAATATGAGAAGTCAGGTCGCAAAAAGAATAATAAGGAAGAATAGAGAGCACGTCCAATGATTAAAATGAAATATAAACATAAAATATTAGAAATAAATATTAACAATAATAGACTTAAAGAAAGAAACGTCAATCTTTAGCGACTAAATAATACAAGGAGCTCAATAAATCCGTATCATTTTGCAGGTTTAATCCGTTTTTCGTTTATTAATAAAAAATTGCCTCAGAGAGTAATTTTTTATTATAACTCCTTTCCTCGTCCAAAATTTGAACATTGTCGCTATCAAATTCATGATTGTACTCAATCCTATGTTCTGTGATAATGGACTGCGATATAGTATTTCTATTAATGTGATTTCGATATTCACTTATTCTTGTTTTCATATAATCGTTTTTGACCCACGTAGGAAACGTCACAATTCTGACAATTGATTTTATATACTACGTTAGAGCGTGAAAAAATTGATAATGTGTTCTTCTGTCCTTTAATAAAGGAACTTAATTTATTGATCCCAGTATACGTCAAAATATATAAACCGTTTTAATGAATTCTTTAATAAAAGAACGGTTATAGAATATTTGAAGAGAGAAAGAGGGTATTATTCTTACTGACTAATTTTTTAAATTCACCAATAGAGTTGATTTTAAACGTTATAAAAAAACAATTATTCTTAAAAAATCTATGAAAATCAGAGATAGATGGAACATAAATAAGATGGAGAAATATGTAATTTTTTTATTATTCTGTTTATTTCTATTCGGATCTAATTTTATATTATTGAATTGTTTGAACTTAGATATTAATCTTTTTCTAATATTTTTCAATATTAAATCCAAAGGGTATCCGTTTTTTATTAATAACGAATTCAAAATTCTTACAATGGATGTGATAAAGAAATTATATTGTCAATTAAATTAATGATTGTGCCTACTTTATGGCCTACTTAAAGGATGACAAGAGAAAAAGTTCAAACAATGTGCCGAGAAAGTAGGCTTGTGATACCAATCATATCAATCTGTTCTCTTTTTTTATTAAAGTTAAATCCAAAATATTCAATCTGTCACCCTCCTATCTCCATTGTGAACTTTAATCGAGGATGAAATTTATTAAAAATATTCTATAAAAAATCAATATTTTGTTCCTGTATAGAGAGATGTCATCCACACAATTACCTATAATAAAAACCTAATGTGAATTTTAATTTATTAAGGAAAACTTTTTCAAGATCCT